CCGAGCTAGCTGCAGGGAAACGAAGGTTAATGTCCTACGCAAATTAGAGGTTTGTCATTAATTGAAAAATCAAGTGCGAAAGTTTTATGGATTAGGATATTCATCTTATATAACAACTTTCAATGAGTTGTTAGACTGTTTAGTTCCACCTGTAGTAAACTATCTAATGGCTGTAAAAAAAAAAAGTGTTTTGTTATCACCAACTCAAAGTTTACCCACGATGACTCTTTTACCCACGATGACTCAGGAATCTGAAACAATCATTCAAGAGTCTCCATCGGGACCTATGAGAGTGTTTTCCCACCACTTTTCGTGCCACAGCTTTGTTCTCCGGCCGCCCCTGGGCCCGAACTGACCGGGGTTTCTCTGCAGGGGAGGCCCGGAGGAGTTCCTTACGATGACCGGCTAGTATTCGCCAACAGAGCCTTCTAGCAGTCAGGGCTTTGAAGTGGCAAGCCTTGACTCCCGAGACAGATGCGGGTCGACCGGCTACACAACAGCATTGTTCCGGCCGCGGCCTGCGAAACGACTGGGGGAACGGCAGGCCAAAACAAACACCCTATGGGAGGGGTCGGACCTCCGAACGTTCGTGTGGCCGGCGAGCGAGAGCTGGGACCTGCAGTAACACAGGGGAAACCACCACTGAAGGTTCTCTGTCAGCCCCGCCCCGCCCCCGCCCCGCCCCCGCCCCCGCCTCCTCCTCAAGAAACCTTTTGCGGAAAAGGGTGGGGGGCGTGGAAGGGTACAGCCAATCACAGGATTGCTCTCAGGTGACGTAAAGACGCGCTCGCTGATTCGGGGTTGGTGGGGGTGTGCGGGGGGGCGGGGGAGCCGGGGATGAGCGACTAGTCAGCGACCCGTGGGAGTTGCGGAAGCCGGAGGGGCGGGCTTGCGCGCGGCCTGCCTGCTGGCGTGGCCTCCGGCTCTCGCCATCGAGGCGTGGCAACAGCAGCGGCGGCGGCGGTGGCCGCGCGAGAGAGAGTGGGACTACCGACTGGTGAGTGCCACGCGTCCGTCGGGGACGCGGGGGCGGGCTCCGGGAGAGCATCCTCCCGGCCTCTAGGGCTGCTTCCCCGACCCCTCGGGCCTCTTCACCGGCCCCAGTCCGCGGCTTCGCACGGCGCCGTGCCCTCGAGGCCCACCTCCGACCCGGGCCGCGCCTTGTCTCCCGGGGTCCTACGCGCCAGGGCCCCTCTTTAGTCCCAGTCCCGTTATAGGCCCCACCTTGTGGCGGGTGGGGCAGACAGGTTCAATGCAGCCCCGGGCGAATAGCCGGCAAGTGTGAGTGTGTGTGTGTGTGTGTGTGTGTGTGTGTGTGTGTGTGTGTGTGTGTGTGTGTGTGGCGTGGGGGGGCGGTGTCAGAGAGAGGCCTGGCTTGACTTTATCCCAGGGCAGTGCCGTGTAGTGAAAATACAGGCTGTCCTGCAAGATAATGCCCGTTAAAAGAGTTGTGCAAGAGAGGATAGACAGCTACTTGGCAGGCAAGTTGCTCTGGGTATAAAGGTTGAACTGATAGATGATTTCGAAGGTCTGCGCCCAACCCTGACTATATTCTTAGTCTGGGCTTCCTTGGAAGTTTGATGAGCGTTTATTTCACACCCCACCCCTCCATCCTGAGCACACTTGTAGAACTGTTACTGCACGAAAAATATTCTTTGCTCCTGAGAGGAGGGCTAGGGCACAGCCTAGCATTATAGATAACTGGTTAACCCAACTACAGGCCTGAAACAAGCCAAACCCGATGATAGCTCAGGAACAGGGTTCTGCATTTCAGACCACTTTTTATATAGTCCCTTCCTTCTTTTATTCCTATGAGTCTCATCCCCTCTGGACTGAGGGAAAAGTGCTGCACAGCAGTCCTCCTTTATCCGTGAGGGACTGTTCCAAGACCCTCAGTGGGTGCCTGAGACCAGCAGATAGTACCAGACCCTATATATACTGTTTATGTTCCTATGTATACATACCTGTGATGAAGTTTAATGCCTTTTCCAAAGCACTTATGCACTGTCACTTTAACTTGTGCAGTTTGAGGTGTGACAGCAAAACCAGCATGATTTTTTCCCTTCTTCACAATTTCACACACAGAAGATGTGTTCTTACTGTAGATCTTAGCAACCTCAGCATATGATTTTTTCCTTTCCTTGTTAAGTTTAGAACTTTCGAATTTTCACTTAAAGGAAGCACTTTACAGCTTCTCTTCAGCATATTTGAACTACCAGCATCCCTTTGGGACCATTATTAAATAAAACAAGGGTTACTTGAACACAAGCAGGGTGACACTGTGACAGTCATTTTGCTAACAGAGACTGTGAAGTGACTTAACGGCTGGGAGCATATGTATCATACAACCCAGAACAAAGGGATGAGTCACATCCCAGGCAGGACAGAGTGGATGTCATGGGATTTTTATCACCCTACTGAAAACAGCATGAAATTTCAAACTTAACAATTGTTTCTGGAATTTTCCATTTAATAGCTCAGATCATGGGTAACTGAAGCGGCAAAAAGGGAAACGTCTGATGGGGGGTGGGTATCATGTTCTCTTGGAAGGACCAGGCACTAAAAGTTCTCACTCATACATATTTATGAGATCAACAGACACCAGGCAGTCGCTGCATGTGGGCAGGGTTCTGAATGCTGGGTTGGGTTCGGGAGAGACAGAGAAACATGGACAATGCTGTTCCACTCACCTGTGCATCTTGCATGTGCGCTGACCAAACAGAACCAGCGACCTTGGCCTATTGGGATGATGCTCCAACCAATTGAGCTACCCGGCCAGGGCCCTGGGTTTGACTTCGGTTCTGGCAGTTGTTAACTGTGATTTGGGGCAAATAAATAATTTTCCACTGTACCCCAATGTATCCCATTTGTAAAATGGGACAAATAAGATAGAGCTGCAAGGATGAGATGAGTTAATCATTGGAAAACTCCTCAACACAGTGCTTGGCACCTCAGACGTGCTTAGCTGGTGTTTACTGTTAAAGAAATGTAGGGACATTTACTTACGTGTACATAGTTTATCTATAGAAGGATAGATAAGAAACTGGTAATTCTTAGCTTCCAGGGAGAAAAACTACATGGCTGGAAGCACAGAAGACTTTTGATAATAGCCTTTTGTTACTACAGTTTTATTTTTCTTTGTATTTTTTAAAGATTTTATTTATTGATTTTTAGAGAGAGGAAGGGAGGGAGAAAGAGAGGAAGAGAAATATGAATGTGTGGTTGCCTCTTGGTACACCCTACAGGGGACCTGGCCTGGAACCCAGGCATGTGCCCTGACTGGGAATTGAACCTGTGTCCCTTTGGTTTGCATGCTGGCACTCAGTCCACTGAGCCACACCAGCCAGGGGATGACGTCAGTTTTAAACCATGTGAATATACTACCTAATCAAAAAATAAGTTAAATTATTTTTTAAAAGATTTTATTTATTTATCTTTAGAGGGGAAAGGAAGGAAAGAGGGAGACAACATCAATGTATGGTTGCCTCTTGTGAGTCTCCTGCTGGGAACTGGCCTGCAACCCAGGCATGTGCCCTGACTGGGAATCGAACCGTGATATTCTGGTTCACAGGCCCACGCTCAATCCATTGAGCTACACCAGCTAGGGGTGAAATTGTTATTTTTTTAAGAAGAATTTACCCCTTAGAAAGGCATTTTACTATTATTTTCTTTTTAAGATTTAACTTCTTTACAAAGTTTTGGCCTAACTAACTTTATATTTTTTATAGTTTATATATAGTTTATATTTTTTACAGTTTATATAGCTAGCTTACTCTCAGTTTTGGTAGAGTAACCTTCAAATTACTTGGTAAATGCTAAGTATTTTAGTATTGCCAGATGGAAAGTTTACTGCTTTTTTAAAATGAATACAAATTGACCAACCATGAATGATTTGTTTTTGCCTCACTCAGCAAATTAAATATCACCAACACTTTATTCAGGTTAAACTGAATTATGAGTGGAAAATAGGATTATGTACAAGAAAACTTAAAACAACCTTTAAAATTTTTTAACTTAATGATTTTTTTTGAGAGAGAGGGGAAAGGAGGGGGAGAGAGAGGGAGAGAAAGAGAAAACATCCATCTGTTTCACTTATTTATGCATTCATTGGTTGATTCTTATACGTGCCCTAACTGAGGATCAAACCCACAATCTTGGTGTGTCAGGATGACGCTTTAACCAACTATGCTACCGGCCAGGCCTGGCAGCTCCCTTTTTATAAATGGCATTGTTACTCAAGCTTTTCTGGATTCCTGGGTGCAAATTGTAAACATTTATACACTTCCTGAAAGATAAACTTTGAGATCATTCTATGAAGTGAAATTTTATGTTGATATAAAGAAGTTTAAAATGCTCCATAAAACATACCTCTTATCCCTTAAGGGGTCCCTGAGTTTTACTTTTCAAGTGGAGGGGACAGGATGGTGGGGGATAGGAAGGTGGGGGGGGTGAGCCACAGTATGTATCTGTGTGGTAGGGCCGCAGTGCTGGAGGCAGGCAGCAACTGAGAGGGGTGGGGTGTGGAGGAATGAGGTTCATGTGAAAGTGGAGGTGAAACCAAGGCTGGGTTCTGAGGTAGGAGGAAGAGTCCAGAGAAGAGGGAGAGGAAGTGTTGGGTAGAGGCACTTGCATCTAGAAAAGCACAGATACGGAGACCATGCAGAACCCCACTGGTTGAACTTCAACCCCACTGGTTGAACTTCAGGGACTTCGACATGGCTTTGGCACAGAGTCAGGACACTTGCAGTCAGCAGGGACAGGGATGGGAAGATGGGCTACGTCCAGATCAACTTGGACCTTACCCGTAGGTGATGTATCCTGTTTAGCATGCAAATCAGATTTATGAACTTTGCAAAGATCACTTGGAAAGTCTTGTGGGAAACAGGCGGAGACTAGAGACAGGCAACTTAACTTTGACAGTCCTTTCCACAGCCCAGACCTCAGATGAGGGACTGGACCAGGGGGTGCCCTGGTGAGCATGGAGAGGGGGAGACAGATTTGAAAGATATTCATGAGGCAGAACTGGTAGGGCCGGAGGAGGTACAGGGTGAGGGACAGAGGAGACAAGGGCGTCAAGGCATTTGGATGAGTGGAAGTTCACAGGTGACTTAGAGAACAAGGAAGGAGAAACAGGTTTGGAAAGGAAAATGGGTTCTGTTTGGGATAGTGGCTTTAAGGTGCCTGCGGGACAGGAAATTCTGGTTGGCACTTAGAGTTTGTAATCACCAGCAGTGAGTGTTAACGAGGCCTTAAAGGTAGAGCTGTGTGTTTTTTGGTGGTGGTGGTTTTAAATCTTGATCTTACTTATCTTTCTCTTCCTCAGCACTAATCAGTGCTTTGTATATAGGGGGTGAATGGTGTGAGCAGAATAGATCTCATCCCTTGAGATGTGATCTTGAATCTGGGGGAAGTAATTTCCCCTCTTAACACCTGTTTCCCTTTTTGTCAGTGAGGGAGTTGAACCAGGTCAGTAATTCTCAAAGTTTTGCCATAGTCTGGTATGTTGGAATCAATTGTAAGGTATGGCAAGTAATTTTTAACCAATTAAGAGCTGATGTTTCCTCACCTTTTAAATGAGACTTGATTTATGTCACTGTTTCTTAATTGCATTGCAGTATGTTAAGTTTGAGAGAAAGGGGTGGAGTTATAGTTAGTGAGCCAGAGTTTCATAACTCTCGATATACCAGGGGCTGTGTCATACACCCGTGCGGTGGGAAGAAAGGTAGGTAAGGACTTACAAACTGCAAAACTCTGTTTATATATAGGATGTCACCCTGATCATAAATAATTTTTATTTTTGCAACTTCAGGAACTCTATTTTAAGGACCTTTCCAAAAGACAAAAACAAGTCATGGAGAAGAATGGGAATAACCGAAAGCTTCGGGTTTGTGTTGCTACTTGCAATCGTGCTGATTATTCTAAACTTGCACCCATCATGTTTGGCATTAAGACGGAACCAGAGTTCTTTGACCTTGATGTGGTGGTGCTTGGCTCTCACCTGATAGACGACTATGGGTAAGATGAAATCACTGTCTTACGATATTCTCCATTGCAATACAGTGTACCGGGGAGAGCTTGGATCTAGGAACTATGTGGACCTAGCTTCAAATCTCAGTCCTGTCACTTAGTTTTTAGGGGGCTCTGGAGAAGTTGCTTAGCATCTCTGAGGCTCAGATTCCTCAATTATAAAACAGAGTGAAAACCTATGTTGTAGGTTATCATGAAGAATGGAGATAGTAATATAGAGGATTCATCACAGTGATGCTGCTTAATAGGTGCTTGATGCTGTTATTACATTCAGGAGAAGCAGCACTTATATATTGTGTAATGTAATGACGTGGTTCCATGTAATCTACTTTGTGAGTCCTAATGGTAATTTTACATTAAAACTGGTATATAGCTCAACAACATAAAATAGCAGATATGAAACAAGATTTTAAAAATCTAATTGATTTACAATGTAACGTAGAATGTTATGTTACCATTTCCATTTATGCTTATTTTGATTGATCAGAGTCGAAATAGGAAAAATGACAAGTTGGGAAATCTTTGAGGGAGCAGAATATGAACAGATGAACATTCATTTTGTTGCATGTAATACAGTGGCATTTAGCGCACCCTTGTGGCATGGAAATGTTAATGCAAGATGGTAAAAAACAATATTAAATGTGAAAGAAGCTTGTGTTAAAGAAAATTGTCTTTTTCAGACTGTTGTTTAAAAACAAGATAATAGCAAAAGCAAAAAACAAAGAAAAACTTGCCTCCAAAAACCAATTTAGCAATTTGATTCTAACGTAGAGTAGAGAAGAAATTTATGGAAGCTCAAAATTTTGTAATTTTTCAAAATGTGAAATGAATTCTGCGTAATAAGAAAACTCACTTCTTATACACGTAGGACAAAGATAGGACAAAAGAGCAGAGAGGTGTTACCGAGAGCCCGACATGGCAGTCTGAGTGGGCCATTTGACTTCTGTGAGAAAAGCGTGACAGAAGGCTAGTGGGAGAGGCCCCCAAAGGCATTGTGCTGGGTTTCTCATCCGCCTGCCACAGTGACTGTGTGTGGGGAGGTGCTGTTTACGTGGTGATACTGTTAAACAGGGAATTTGTCTGATGCTTAATGGGAATGCGTTTAAAGTACATTCTAACAAAAGGAATTGGTTGCTCCCAGGAAGAGGAACTGGATGACGGGAAACAAAGGAGAATGTAGTTTTTCATTGTACAACTTTTTGTATCTTGAATTTTAAACCATGAGGGTGTATTATCTACCTTAAGAAGACATTAAACCAACAGAAAAAAATAAGTTACCTTTCTACTTCAACTGCTCAGATATTTTTTAAAGCATTTTTATGCTCTTAACAATTAGGCAGAAAAGGAAAGGAAATCAAATTAATAAAGACTACTTAGAAATTCATTCGTTTATTTACTCAACAATTTTTTAAAGAGATAAGGAATGTTTCTAAACATCCTCCAAGGCACAGGAAAGCCCCTTGCACAACAAAGTTCTCTCTGGCTCAAAATGTCAGTAGTGCTGAGGTTGAGACACCTGGCTGCTATAGTGTTTCCCCACAAAAATGTGGGGAGAAAAGTGGAGGGAACAGTGGCCAAGATGGCAGAGTAGGTAAATGCAGCACTCATATCCTCTCACAACCACACCAGAATTACAGCTAAACTACAGGACAGCCATCATTCAGAGCCCCCTGGACTAGAGCTGAACAGGAGTCCTATTACTAAGGGTACAAAGAAAAAAATCACATCCAGACTGGTAGGAGGAAGGATGGAAATGAGGAATAGACTGGTCCCACTCCCACGTGTGGCAGTGAAAATTGGGAGGGATATCTTGGCTGCTGAAGAGCGAGGAGTACCAACCTCATGTGAGCCTCCAGCCTAGGGCTCCTGTGCTGCGAAGAGAAGTCCCCATAACTTCTAGGGGTGAAAACCACCCGGGACTATAAGTCCAGCTGAGTAAGTCCAGCTTACTCAGCTGAGTAAGACAGAGGGCTCCTGGAGTCCCAGACATTTCTCTTTAAAGGTCCCCATGCTCTTATTCAGACCTACTTGCTCTGAGCTCTAGCACTGGGGCAGCAGCTGGAAAGGTGCCAGGGACATATGTGGGGGGCAGGGGGAATACTGAATTGTTTGGCCTTAGGGCAAGGGTTGGAGGGGCAATGTCTCCCAGACAGAAGTGCTGGCAAGGGCCATTGTTCCTTTTCTGGGCCCTCCTTTCACAGAGCCAGCAGGTAGGCCCCGTATCTGAGTCTCCATCAACCTAATACAGTTCTTCCTGCCCTGGTGATTCCCCGAGTCCTTGTCCCACCTAGCTTGCAGGCCCACCCAAGATGTTTCCACCAGCTTTTCCATGCAAGCAGACTGTCTTGGCTCAGGTGCAGACTTTCCTACAATCTCTCAAACAAGCAGCATCTGGCCTTGGCATGCCTTATACCTCTTGCTAAGTGGCCCCAGGCCTGGCACAAGTGGCCTCAGGCCGGTACTAGTGGTAGCCAGCCTTGGTTCGAAGATTGGCCTCTCCCAGGCACCTCTGAGCCTGGTGCAAGTAGCAGCCATCTGCAAATCACTTTGCAGCTCATCCTGGGTGGCCCCTGTCAGTGCACAGGTGGTTAATGACCTTTGCCTGCACCTCCCAGGAGGCCCCAGAGCCAGCACTCCTGGTGGACAGCTTCAGACCACACCAAAATACCCAACCACCTCCATGAGCAACATATTCAAGGTGAAGACTCAGCAGGTACCTGAGCCCTGTTGAAGTGAGTAGTGCTCTGAGATGAGCCTCTGCACAGCAGATCCTCCATGGTGGTCATGGCTACTCCTTGCAGCAGATTGGCCAGGTGGGTAAATCCCTCCCATTGACATGCCAACAGCAATCAAGGCTCAACTACAGCACGAGGGTGCACACATTCTATATGTGGGGGTGCACCTGGAGTACCCAGCTTGGCTAACTGGGGAGGCTGTGCCAGTGGGCCCTATAGGACATCAGCATAAGGCCACACTACCAAGACTGGGAGATGTAGCAGCTCTACCTAATGCATAGAAACAAACACATGGATAAAGCCTAACTGAGGAGACAAAGAAACATGTCCAAAATGAACAAAATTCCAGAAAAAGAACTAAACAAAATGGAGACAAGCAATCTATCTACCAGATGGAGAGTTCAAAACATGAGTTTTAAGGATGCTCAATGACCTTAGTGAGAATTTCAACAAAGAGATAGGAAACATAAAAAAGAACCAGTCAGAAATGAAGAGTACATTACAGGGAATCAACATTAGAGTAGATGAGCAAAAGGATGAAATCAGTGATTTGGAAGATGAGCAAGCAGAACCACCTAATCATAACAGGAAAAAACTTAAAAAAAAATGAGAATAGTTTAAGGAGCCTCTGGGACAATGTCAAGCATACGTACATTTGCATCATTGGGGTGCCAAAAGGAGAGCAAAGAATTGAAAACCTAATTTAAAAAATGATAATGGAAAACTTCCCTGACCTGAGGAAGAAAATAGACATACAAGTCCAGGAAGCACAGAGAGGTCAAACGATGAACCCAAAGAAGGTCATACCAAGACACATCATAATTAAAATGCCAAAGGTTAAAGACAGAGAATCTTAAAATCAGCAAGAGAAAAGCAGTTAGTTACCTACAGGGGAGCTTCCATAGACTATCAGCTGATGTATCAGTAGAAACTTTGCAGGCTAGAAGAGACTGGCATAAAACATGCAAAATGATGAAAAGCACCAAGATTACTCAGCAAAGCTATCATTTAGAATCAAAGGACAGATAAAGAGCTAAAGAAGTTCATCACCACCAAATCAGTAATACATGAAATATTAAAGGTCTTAGATATGAACAATAAGATGGCAATTAATACCTTATCTACCAATAATTGAATCTATAAAACAAAATCATAGATACAGAGAATGTTGGGATGGTTACCGGATGGGATGGGGGTTTGGGGGTTGGGTGAAATAGGTGAAGGGATTAAGAAGTACAAGTAGGTAGTGACAGAATAGTCATTGGGATTTAAAGTACAGCACTGGGAATAGAGTAGCCAAAGAACATAAATGTATGACCCATGGATATGGACAGTGGTGTGGGGAATGCCCGTGGGGGGGTTGCTGTTGTGTGGAGTGTGGCAAAGGGGGAAAAATTGGGACAACTGGCCCTGGCTGGTGTGGCTCAGTGGATTGAGTGCAGGCCTGCGAACCAGAGGATTGTGGTTCGATTCCCAGTCAGGGTATGTGCCTGGGTTGCAGGCCAGTTCCCAGCAGGGGACGCACGAGAGGCAACCATACATTGATATTTCTCTCCCTTTCTCCTTCCCTTCCCCTCTAAAGATAAATAAATAAAATCTTAAAAAAAAATTGGGACAACTGTAATAGCATAAACAATGATACAATTTAAAAAGAAGATAAAACTAATACGTAGAATAATACAAATATACTATTTGAAAAAATAAACATGCATCCTGAAAAAGCTAAAAAGGGAATATACATCTGTATGTTCACTGCAGCATTCTTTACAATAGCCAAGATATGTAAGCAACCTAAGGGTCCACAGCAGATGAATGGATAAAGAAAAAGTGTTGCATATGTACGATTGAATATGACTCAGTCATAAAAAATAAAAAAGAACAAAATCTTGCCATCTGTGACAATATGTATGGAGCTAGAGGGTATTGTGCTGAGTGAAATAACTCAGGTAAAGATAAATGCCATATGACTTCACTTACATGTGGAATAAAACAAAACAAAACAGATGAACAAGCAGAACAGAAACAGATTTATGTGAGGGGGTTGTGGGGCTGGGTGAAAATGGTGAAGGGGTTAAGAAGAACAAATTAATAGTTACAGAATAATCAAAATTGAGGACAAGGGAGTGAATTCTCCTGTATGTCCCACTCCCCCCACATGCACAGCCTCCCCCATTATTAACATCTTTCGCCACAGTGGTACATTCATTCCAGTTGAGGAGCTTATGTTGACACATCATTATCACCCAAAGTTCT